ACTTAAAGCAGCAACGTCTACCAATCCAGAGTCACCTTCCAGTAGTCTGATCAGAGTAATTTGCTACCCAAAAGAACATCGCTTCACCAACGAGGCAACAGAGTAAGATATGAGTTGTTTCAATTAAACATCATTACCAATTTTTATTTAAGTCCCCTCCGATGAAAAACAAAATATTGATACTGAGAATCTTTTTCTATTAATTTCAGATGGGGTATTAAAAATGAAGATAGAGCACGTAAGGAGTATGAAGATTTTCAGCAAACATCCCATGACAATCTTAGTGTGTCCATTAGTGGTTTGCAGTTGAATACAAAATGGCCATTTCTGGGTGCCTCGCCGGATGGCATTGTAGAATGCGATTGCTGTGGTATTGGAGCATGTGAAATCAAGGTAATGTTTTTTCTCTTTCCGTGGGTTGATTAGAATACGGTGAACACTTTAAACTGAGCTTTTCACTGAAATGTGGACAAGAAATGTTAATATAAAATTGGCATTTTGTACGCTTATATCATAATCCCATTCTAACCGTATGCATTTATTTACTGTGATGTTTTTGTTTTGACAGTGTCCATTCAATCAGCGCAACAAAACGATAGAGGAGTCACTTAGCGACAAAAACTTTTGCCCGAAGAAAGAAGACAACAAGGTGCTTCTCAACAGAAACCATAGTTACTATTATCAAGTACAAGCACAGATACACATAATGGCAGTGGAATACTGTGACTTTGTTGTTTGGACCAACCTTGAACTGCACATTGAACGCATGTACGCCGATACAGAATTCTGGGAGAGAACTGTTGCCAAGGCAACTACTTTCTTCAAACGTGCCATCCTGCCCGAAATCATTGGCCACTGGCATACAAAGCCATGCAGTTCAAATGTCACACAGTGCAAACCAGTTCAAGATGTACCACAGAGCAACCCAAGCAAGACCGATAAACCAATTCAAATGATCGGTTGCGATAATGATTCATGCCCATACGAGTGGTTTCATTTGAAGTGCTTAAAAATTAGAAAGGTACCTAGACGTACATGGTTTTGTCCCACTTGCAGAAAATCTTGAATACAAGATACCATACAGAAAAACAAAACTAGTTATAATAATCAGTTTTATTTACATGATTGAATTATTTACAACACTAGTATAGAAAATGAACAAGGGAACCACTTTTGGTGAATGAAATTATCTTAATATTTACAAGCATATCTCTTGTGATTTCATTTGTACATACATTTGTAAGTTATTTACCATCAAATCCATTTTTAATAAAACTATTTTGTCATGACATTGAAACTGTTTTTGAGTGTACAATATTTATTCAAGTGGTATGATTGAATCACAAATGTTGGTCAATGCACAACAGACTCTTACAATTTTATCAATTGGGGCCTCTGTTTCTCCTTTTTTTTAAATCAAATATTCAACTGGCAGTGTGCTCTGTAAAACCTGATACTTTCGTCGAACAAGGCCAATTACCCTCTCAACATGTATTCGAACATGGGCTATTTTTCTTGTAGTCTCAACTTCCAGAGCTGGTAACTGTGATTTCCCCTTTGTAAACGCTGGGATGTTTAGGGTGGCACAATAGTACCCAACACTGTCAGCTATATCAAACCCACGGTCTGCAAGTACTATGTCATCATGGACCAAATTATCCAAAAACAAAAAACCACAGTGTTCTGTCAAGTATTTATCACTAACCCTCCCTCCCCAACTTTTCAAAATGAAAGAAACACCACCTGTGGAGCTATCCCAATAAGAAATTTCATTGTGTTGTGGTGTTTATAATTTGACCAAGTTTCTGCACGAGCTTTGAGATTGGAAGGTCTGTCAATGAAAACTTCAAAACAGTCAATAATAACAGCCACCTTATTTCCAAATGATTTCTTAAATTTAACTGGCATAATTTCTCTCAGCATTTCTCTACCTGGCCATATAATAAGAAAACTGAGTCTACTTGACAGAACATCCAGCCACTTTGTAAAAATTCTTGAAGCTGTAGAAAGGGAGATGCCAAACCTAAACGCCAAATCTTGAAGCTGTAAATTGAGTCTCAGTCTCGTCAAAACCAGAATGAACTCTTGGAATTGGGTCAACACATTTCTGTGGGTGGATTTTACAAATGGTGAACATAAACCAAAGACTGTTATAAGCAATTTAAAATTTGGAAGTCCAGTGTAGGATTTAGTTCTGCAATCACTAGATTTGAAAGCATCTTGGGAGAGTTCAGAGTCCATAACTTTCTGCCTTAGTTGGTAAAGTTCTTCATTTGTCTTCTTTGCATCTTCTTTTAATGATTTCATTTCTTCTTCAATTTCACTAAAATCAGCTGAAGTAAAGTCAGTCTGGCATCCAACATCTACAAAATTGCAGTCAAAACCTGAAACAAAATAAGATTTGCAATGTTAGAGTTGTACTAGTGACATGCGGGCAAATTATGAATGTGTATTATGACAAAATGAAATTTCTATATTTGTATAAAATTTGGGGGGAACCTTCAAATTTTCAGAGAAGATGGGCATCTTAAACGTTAAATTTGCAAAAAAAATTAACACTGCTCCCTGTGGAAAAAATATTTCAAAACATAGCCTGGTAACATGGGTTGGAAAAATTATATATTACTGATAGGGTCACCAGTGTGCAGATAGCAGTAACACATTTTGTAGGGACAATAATTTATGAAAGTATATTAAACATACCTTGAAGAATGTTTAAAGGATCATCGTTATTCTGAACATCCATGGATGCGTACAAACTCTTCTGGACCTTTGTTCAATTCAAGCAGTATGTTAGCAACCTCAGAACGATGTCTTTTTTCCACACGTTGGTTTAATCTTTCTCTGCGTATCTCAGATGATTCTGTTGGGGGCTTCACGTTTTCATGTTCCAAGTTTAATGTTGGGGCCCAGTCTACAGATTTCTTCTCATACAATTTACTTGGACGACCTGAAAATTGAACAAACAACTAATAAATGACAGAAGATGATAACAAAATTATTCAGTATGACTATAATTGTCGAGAAAATCGGCACAGCGGTAA